ATATCTGGATGATGGAACCAAGTACAGTTAGATCATACAAACCAAACTAATTGCTTAGTTTATAAAACTAAGAAATCAATATAAAGGAAGAAATGAAGCACAACAGATCTCATAATCTAGGTGTAAGTAAGATTACTTATAAACTATAATTAGTTTTTTTAAATAATTTTAAAAAAAAAATGAAATTAGTTTAGTTGTTATAACTTAATAAAGGCTGTATAGGCAGTCAATAACAAGCAGTCCAGGGTTAGTAGATTGTATAGCATTCGTTAAGGTTTTGGGTTGTTGATTGTGCTCATTAATTGCCGGGAAGCAGGGGTAAATGATGCATAATAGCCAGGTGAACATCAGTTTGGAAATATGGAAGTTAATACCTTTAGGGAAAAGCTAAATACATTTTTAATTTCTTAAATTAAATCCATTTTTCTTAGTTCTGCTTTGCTGTGCCTCCCCTTTTCCTTGCTTCTTGATACTAATTTGTATAAACTTCTTTTTCCCTTTTCCCTACCTGTTGTTCAACCAAATATTTCCTCAAAAGTCAGTCCCTTTAGTTGTTCATTTTTGTTGCTGCTCTTGTCTCTCTCCAGTTTGCTGATATCTTTCTAATCCAAAATTAAATAGAATATTAATTTATAATTGGAATAAAGGTGGTTTTCTGAGGAAATTAGCACTCTGACTTAATTTCTTTACAGACTTCCATTTTATTTTATTAGGAAAGGATAGGAAAAGCCTGAACTATTTAGTGAAAGGGAGAGCGGCAGCATCAAAAATTTCATATATTTATAAATACAAGCAGATTTCATGCTTCAAATCCTACTTTGGTTCTCTCCATGCCAAAGTTAAAATAATCATGAAAGGCACCAGATGTTTCTTCTCCCACGCCATTTCCATGGAAATGATGAGCTTTCTTGATCAAGCAGAACAAGTAAGTAAAACTAATTCAGGTGAGAGAGACTATTCTGAAGGTAACTTGGAACCAGTGAAGAAAAGAGGTAACTTAGTGGAACTGGATTACCTTTGTTTAATTGTCTGGTACTCCCTATCTCTCATTTATTATTATTTCTTCTGCTTGTCTCATAATACCATATTCTTAAGACAAGGTTCCCCCCAACCATTTAACAAGGAAGGGTGTGGGAAGAGGTCCCTCTTGGTACAAGGTGGCAGGGCGGCTGCTATGACTCGTGACCCTGACTTAGGGTTGGAGCTGCAGCTTCTGCTTGCCACCTCTGCCCTTGCTGCTTACCCTCCAGTTTTTGCCAGGGGCACAGAGCATGTGGTTGTTCCTTCCCCAGCCTAGCCCAGTAACAGTGGTGGCAGAGGCAGCAGCTGCAATCCAGGCTTCAGCTCTGGGGCCCAGCTGGAGCTGCCACCACCACAATAGCTATTGTGTGGTTTGGCTGGGGCTGGGACAGCCATGCTCTGTTCCCCAGGCTACAGCAGGGCCTTAGCCAAAAGGGAAGTGGTGGCAGGGGCAGGGGGTGGAGACACAGGGCAGAGTTCAGGTTGCCTGCCTTGCTACCACTGCTTTCTCCACTGCAGCACAGGTTGGGCTGATGAATTTAAGATTACTGTCCAATAATTAGTTTCTGTATATGGAGAATTATAACAAATTTTATAAATTCTACATGTATATAATCGTATTATTGGCAGGTTGTCTTGGATTTGGGTAAATATGGTACATATAAAGAACCTCTTAAAATAGCTTCTCTCTCAATGTAGTTTGCTTATAGAAAACAGTAAGATGCAAAATTTTTGGTCTCTTAAGTAGTTTAAAGCAGACAAAAGCCTATCTCTGACTTGCATAGGAGGCATAGCCTGAAGATTAGATAAATTTTGTCTAGGGCCTGAGGCTCAATACTTTGAGGTCCTCATTGAAAATGATGATTGTTTGTTCATTTGTTCGTCTTTCCATTGGCTCATGTTTTGAAGTTGTAATAATATTTATATCTTACAGAGGAATTTCAGTGATATCATGTTTTTCCTTTTCAGGCACATTATTTTTCAAAATATTAAGTTCTATACATTGGCTAAATCTGTGCTATTACATATATAAAAATAAAAGTAAAGTGGGGGGCAGTAAAAAAACAAGGAATATAAAATGTCATTGGAGATTGAGCAATACGAGTCCCTTTAACACAGGGATGTTAGCAGAAACGCTTATCTTCTGTACCTGGATCAGTACATTGAACAATGGATAAAACCATCAGATTGCTGTGTTTTATGTGCAGGGCTGTGGAGATGGTAAAGGAGGAGCTCCCATCCTGAGACTGCTCTGTCTTGGTAGTTATCATTTTTCTGTCTCTTAGATTAGCAAAATATGAGTAAGTGTATGGATTTGCTAGTTAGTACTCTCGTTCCACGGTGTGTAGGAATCTTCCTCTCTACAGTACTTGAGAAAGCACGATCTAGTATTTGAATAGGGGTCTTGAAATAAGCAGATCTGATTTTGATTCTCAACCTGTTCTACGAAGTTAATGTGATTTCTCCCTCCCCCCCCGTAAAAGGTCTTAGTCTATTTTGTTTTCTGACTTCCAAAATGGTTAGAAGGGTGCATATATTGCCTTCGTTTTTTTCCGTAACCTTTGACATGAACATATGATACTTGTGCCATGCTAGTGAAATGTAGTGTTTTGTGTGCCTGAGTACCTGGATACTGGCTCTGCAAAAGCAAGATATTACAACCAGTAGTCCTTTTTGGTATGTTCTGTTGAGCGTTTTGCTACAGTACCTTTTATATGGTATTTCCTACAATTCCATTCCGAGTTTTAGCAGGTTTGGGAACCCAACTCTGAACGGACTACTGACTGTACAGGCTTTTAACACGTTGTCATAGACATCTTTTCAGGACTGGTCTCAACACAAATGTGTTAAGGCTGTTGTCAGAAAGCATGGGTGGGGCTAGTGAAACTGGCTGAAGTGTCTGATTAATTGACCCCAGAGATGTATAGTAAAAGTGGAGGAGTGGAAAGCATCAACTGATGTTTTGAATAGATGTAGATAGCAGAGACCTCAGTTTCGCTGAGCGACAGTGAGAACAAGTGGTGGAAACACAAGAACAGCAGGAATGCATTCCTTGTAGCAAAGAATACTTTTTTAGCATCTGATGCATATGATAATGTAACTGACTGTTTTGTTACCAATATCTATCATTATTTGAATGCTCAAGTAAGTAAAGTTATAGGATAGGGACATACTTAAATTCTTCTGAAATTATCTGGATAATTGTTTTGGCAAAGTGGTTTTTAAATAAATTCAGCACCTATAGACTTTTCTTAAGTGTGTTAATAGATTTCCTGGTTTCTTTTCTTTATTTATTTTCAGAGCTAAATACCACAAATTAAAATATGGCACAGAGCTGAATCAGGGAGATATGAAGCCTCCAAACTATGATTCTGGTAAGAATTTAAGGTTGAAATAATTATTTTTAAAGTTCTCTTGTAATTTTAACTACAATTTGTAAAAGGTAGCTAGGTGTTAATTGGATATAGTAGACAAAAAAGGAATAGACACATGGTGACTAGTCAAGATAGAATATTTTATGTTGCAAAATGTTAATGTAGCTTGTAAAAGTAGTTTTTAAAACATTAGTTTCTTGGGGTGGGTTTTTTATGGGGTGGGGGGTTTGGTGAGTTTTATCTATATTTTGAAATAGGGCCATCAAATGAATTTGGGTAAAAATGTAAGCTCTAGAGTAAATGCATGGGTGTTTTTGTTTTTTTTAAACTAAGAAAATTCTGGCATGGCAAAAAGTTGGGGGAAATGTATCTTGGGAACTTTATTTTGGAAGAGTTATTGTGCATTACCAGTGTAATATAATTAGCATGCAGTGCATAATGCATTTTGTCTTGATTTACGATCTTTTCAGATTTCCAGAAAAACTGAAAGAAATGCAAATGAGAGATAAATTGAAGGTGTAGATGGATATTACTGGGTTTTTATAAAACTAATGAAAACTGGAAAATATATAACAAGTAGTGAATAAATACTCTGCTAGTATTGGATAACTCCTCACTGGGTTGCTGCATAATTTAATTACTCATTTCTCCAAAATATGGATCTCTTTCTCATAACTAAATAGAATGACTTTGAAGCTGAAGAAAAGGAAGAATTAAAATTTCCTTTTTGTTTTGGTCAGCACAGCAAATGTTATTCAAAAGGCCTTTCTTGTCTCTAACCTAAGATCCATTTTTTGGATTAAGTCCTCAAGGAGAAAAAGGAATGAGAAATAATTCTAAAACATTGTTCTCTGGTACAACTAAAAAAAGCGAACATGAACATGGTCCCTGCAGATCTTAGCCATGCCATTTGCTGAGGAAAATGTGTCCTAGGATATGGACAAAACAGCATTTTAGCCTCTTTAAAAGAGGATGGGTAGCTATTGCATGGGAGCATGCATCAGTTACTACACTGCAACTATTAGGTCTGCAAGATCTTGTCTTATCATAACATATAATATAACATGTCATGATAAGACTTGTTTAACTAATGAGTTAAATCTCCCTAACTTTGACCCCTGTAGGCAAGTGAAGTGACTTGGGTTCAAGTGAAAGTGGTCTTGCTACATTTGTGTCACTCTAGGATCAGCCAGAGGTAAAACAGTTTAGCGACAGTTGTTGTATCTATATATGCTGTGGTGAACAGACTTGCACACCTTAATCTAGAAAAGAGTCTGAAAATACCTGCTTGTCAAATTTGGCACGCAACTTGTCTTTTCCTAAATATATATAAAATGCCTTGGTTCTGAACTTTATTGCAGCTTGTTTCTTAACAAGTTAAGCTACTGTGCTCTTATCTGAATTGGAGAAATAGTCCATTGTATTCTTCCCGTAGCTGCCAAAAATTAGAGGTTCTGGCACCATAAGCACGTACCATCAGGATTGAGCTCCTGATCAGTATAATCCTTGTAATCCATGATAATTGTCCTTATTACATTAGATGCTTGCCTATCTACATGTTTCTCTGGAAAAGTAGGAAGAATATTGAGGCAAATCTTTACAATACTTCAACCTAAAGTCCTTGTTATTTGGCTTCTATCTGAAATCTTGGATTCTGTAGTAATTCTGCTGAGAGCACTCTTAATCAGAACAATGCATTTTCTGCATTCTACACAACATTCCCATAAAAGCCTCATTTGACCTATTTGGCCAGTGGTCCAAGCTTCTTCACTTTCAATTGTAAAGGATAATGAGGTTTTTTTGGGGGGGGAGTACAGTTCTATCTTCTGGGGTGTTTATACATTTAACCAAGGTGGCCTCCAAAGGAAAAGCTTAGTCTCAGGAGTGGTCATATAGCACAAACTTTTCTTCCGTCTTGATGTTTAATGGTCTTTTACCTAAAACAGGCTTTGATAGTTGCAGGGTGGATTCCGCTGTCTTCAGAAAACAATGTGTACATTTATTTTCATTGCTATTCCTGGACAAACTTATAGATTCAAGGTTGCAAAGTACTTAACATACAGATGGCATACTTTATACATAAGTGCTATATAAATGTCAATTAATCTTGGTCCCTTTGGTAAGTAAAAGTATTAATCCCACTCTTGAAAATGGAAATCTCAAAGCTGCATATCAAATCAATGGTTAACTGGGATGGTAATGTAGAAGCTTTTGGTTCTCTAGTTATATTTTTACAGTGTTACTCTGTTCTTCCTTTAGCTGCTGGGCAATATAATAGGTCATGAGTAGATAACAATAGCAGATAACAAACCTGGACTTCTTTACTTGAGCAATATAGGCTTAAATTAGGTACAGAGGTCACTGCCCATTCCTGATCATCACACGCTTATGCAGCCTATTGTTTTATATATTAAATCTATCTGATTGGTCATGCATAAGGATCTTTAGCCAGCTTCTAAGTACGTTCCGTTTGCTAATGGTTTGTAGAACAGATATTGGAATTTTTCTGCAGGTTTTTACAGAGTAATGTTAGATCCTGACCTGTGGGCATGAAAAGTTTGAAAATTTGCTAAATGTTTTTTTAAATAACTATGGGCAGAAGAAAATTCCATATATCAACAAAAATCAGCCATACCTTTTTTTTTTCCCCTTCACTACAAAAAATAAAATATGGGTGGAACTTGATGTTAGTTCATAATGGTGTGATGAAATCCTTAATAAATTGTAAGGATTGATGCACCATTCAGTTACCAGTAAAACCATAAAAGTTTCTTGTATATGAATTTAAACTCTGATTGAGGCACTTAATGCTAGTACAGAACTCTAGGTATACATGCTTTTGAAGAAAAAAGAAGTGGAAAAGGATTTTCCAATTTTTTTCTTCAAAAGCATGTATATCTAGAGATTTTTGTTTTACATTGATGACGTGATGGGTGAGAGCCATAAGGGAGGTGATGCTGACAAGTATAACTTGTTTTAAGAATGCTGATGGCAGTCAATGTAGTGTACAAGTGATACAGCAGTTCCATAGTACTTCATTTTTTTATTTTTATTTTTTTACTTTGAATCCATCTTAAAGGGCTGGGGTGGCATGGGTACTAAGGCACACGGTTGACAGCCCAGGAGTCAGGTCACAAGTTTGAGACCATAGCAGAAGTGCTCACAGTGTGTCCTGGCAGATTCCAACAAATCTGTGAATTCAGCTAAATACTTTGTAACAAGGACACAGAAAAAAGGAAAGGAAGTCATCCTTAAAGTTCTTTGAACTGTGTTTTTAATGTTAAAGTGGTAATTCAGTCTGACTTGCTCTTAAATTAAACTCAAATCCTCTTTTAAATACAAAATAGGAAAACATTTTCTAATGAAACAATCTTTTCCAGATGAAGGGAATGAAACAGAGGTTCAGCCACAACAAAATAGTCAGCTAATTTGGAAACAAGGGCGACAGCTGCTGAGACAGTAAGTGTCATAATTAATGTTCAAAGATGGGAGCTTGACTGAAAGGTATCAACACTGAATCTGACTACTGTATTTTAATATTTCCATCTGATTTTCTTTCCTGAAAAGTTAGTGTGAGTGCTTAACCTTCTCTGGAAGGGCTATTACAGCACAGAAAGTTTTTTAGAAGTGTTGGTAAGTTTCACCGTTTAAAACAAACTGTTTCTGGTGGGTGTTATAGGAAGGTTAATAGGGAAAAGAGGTTAGAGAAATCTTAAAATTTATTTTTCCCTTAAAATATTTAGCAAAAATTCAAGAGATAAGATTATTCCTTCTAGAACCATGTGAAATAAGAACAGCTCTTACCTTTCAGATTTTTTCACACGTTTACATATTTTTTTCTAATTTTGACTAACTTTTAACACATCCATGAAACAATCTTACTTGGTCCATGTCTGAGTCCATCTGTTATGTATCAGTGGTGTGCAAGTGTGTAAAGCTCAGGTCTTAGTGCTACTCACACACCTCCTAGACACCTAAGTTAGTAAATGCAATTATTTTTCATGCTACATAGTTGGACTTAGTTCATTGTGCATGCTCAGAAGCAGTTTCCTATGGGCAGGTATGTGTTGAACTCCATTTATGTCCTATTGCCATCCAGTTATATCTAGGAAAATACACATTCTGTGTTAAATCCCCAAATCTGTTGTCAAAGGAGACACAGAATGTGTATTTTAAACCCGTTTTACAGATTTGGGGCTGAGAGATTAAGGGATTTGCACAAGGCTGTGCCACGTATCCCTATATCTTACTTAGTTACAGTATAAGGTACATGTCTACCCTGTCTTCTGCATGACTTCAGATTAACTTGACTGCCTATCTGCATATCCATCTCAGCCAGCTTTACACTTCAGACAGTCTGACTCCAAGGCTCAATGAACCTTTTAGGCCTTAGCTGTCACCCCTTTATGTAAATGAGCCAAATTCACATTCTGCATGGATGTTCCAGTTTAACAAAACAGTTGGGTACTACTAAATGTGTATATACGTATTTGATCATAAAACTGGTTGTTTGTACTGTCATAACTAGTCAAAGAGTAGGAAATTGTCACAGTAGGTATGTACAGGCTTTGTGTAAAGGTTATCTAGGAGGCAGATTTTAAGTTAGATTTTTTTTTATTTTACTTTAGATGTTCATGAAATACCTATAAAAACAAAATAGCTATACTGTGTATGAAATGGTTTGGGGTCTTTAATTAAAAATCATTTACAGTTTATTCATAGTTCTTTTTCCATCTATCTTGGTAAATGCAATGAATAACGTATTGTATAACCTCTGACTACTAGGCTCTTTGATTTTTTCTCAGTGACTGTACAGGCTGGTACTGCAAGAAACGATTCCCTCTGCAGCTGGTACAAGACAATTTATTATAATGTTTCATTAGCACAGCACCATACTTTGCTAAGCTTTGTACCGGAGGGGAGTTTAGGGAGTATCTTTTATATAATGATTTAAATAATCATATAGATTACACAGATCTGCATGGAAGTCTAGCATGAGTTCTACTCCTACAGGTATCTACAGGAAGTGGGTTACACGGATACAATACTGGATGTGAAGTCAAAACGTGTGCGAGCTTTGTTGGGCCTTTCAAATGATGCCTCAGACAGAGAAAATAACAAAAACCAAGAGCCAATGTTAAATGGCACAGAGGCCCAAGTTAAAGAAAACGTAATGATTGGGTAAGTTCTGGACATGACAAATGTTACCTTTTAATGTGTGTGTAAATTATTTGTTTGTGAAAGATTTTATTTGCGTGAAAGATTTTTATGACTTTTCTTTTTAGATTCCAAACTGAACGAATATTTCTAGCCAACTTAATTATTAAACAGTTAAGTATTAACGTGGAAGCCACACTTTAATTATTGAAAATTTCCATAAAGAAGCAATTTATTATTTCATTTAAGTGACACTAGAGGAAATTAAGCCTTCTGACTTTAAGGTTATGTTCTTTAAATGCTGAAAGGAATATGTCAGTTACTGGGCCAACAGAATTTTCCTTTGGCTTGCTAATACTCTCAAAATTGTAATATAGTCTTCAATATTCTGGTATAAGATGCCATATATGATGACTAAATAATCTGTATAAGGTGAAGGATTTTACAGCATCTGGAAATGTTTTTAATATGCATAACTAGCTTCCAACTTTTATAAATCCTCAACTTTGCTGCTGACATCTATGTTAATAAATATGTAAGAATGCAGGTAAAATCTACATGTAGCTTCCACATGTGCATGCCTGTCACTTGATATTTCTGATACCATCACAAAGATGGCAGACAGAATAAAATAAAGTTTATGCTTCATTTATTAAATTGTTTTCCTCTTTCTAGAAGAAACTTATTACAGTTAAAATGCTTCTGAAAGCTTGCTTTTAGACATTCCAGCAAAATTAGTTTGTGGCTGCTCATTTAAATACAATAGTTTATGAAGTGCTAGATTTAAAGAAAAAGTAAGTCTGAGTTTTACTTCAGAAGGCAGCACCATTGCCAACACAGGGTTTAATCTTTGATTTTGCCTCTTGTTTCAAAAGCAAGTACAGTTTAAATATAGCAGACTGCAGTCCCCACTGTATTCCAAGGCACAATGTTGCTTTGTGATGGCTTCCTAATCTGAAGAGAATTCATTACGGTAATCAGAGCCAGTAAAGCAGCTGGTCTGTGTTTAGGGAGATTACCCAGTGAACATGAGCTAATTATATACTTCATGTTAGGTTGTGAGATGGGAAATTTGGGTGCGTAACCTCTGTTATGCACCCTTTCAGGCTGGAAGGAGATGGCATCTATCTTGGGTAGAAAATGGGAGAAGCTTGTCCTTTTTACAGTCAGAGTGAGAATTCCTATGTGTACGTGTTGTCATTTTTCTTTTTCTTTTTTAATTGAAGATGGCTAGAGATAGTGAGGTTATGTGATGAGTGTTTTGCATGGGGAACGGAATAGAGTCAGCAAATTTTGTAGAGACCTGTTAAGGCTGAGAGGCGATGAGCTTTGGAGCTAACGACAGGTAATTTGTCTGGGCTCCTTCATCAAATCAGTTCTGACCTCCTTCTAATGGTTATGCATATTGTGGTGTAATACTTCTTCCATGAGCTTTTGTTTTAGGTAGTACTAGATCTGATATGAATAAAGCTGACATTTTAGATTTGCAGGCTGATTCTGGATGTGGGTGCTCAGTAATACCATGTTTGACTGAATATTGTCATTCTACAAGATTTGTCTTTGCAGTTTGATGTTAATGCATGTCCTCTTTGAGGAACTTTTTGTTCTTGGCTGACTTGCGATACACAAGGTAGCTAACTGCAGAAAATGTTTAGCTGAGCACCTGAATGTTTGATATGTACAGTACACAACTAAACTTTCTGGTTAAGCTGGTCTCTACATCCTAAGCTTTTGCAGTAGAGGAATTTCTAAGTGGAGTTTTCTGACGTTTTTTCAATATTGTCTCAGTGCTCACAGTTTATCATGCATCTCTTGATCTTAGTTCAAACTGGCTGTCTTGCGTTTCTTTGTAAGCAAGGAAAGTCTGGTTTTTACTGAAAGATTGAGGAGAATTTTTTGCTGAGATAAGTGAAAAATTGGTCTTCTGTGTTGTGAATATTTTGGGTACTTGTAGTTCAGCCACCATCCTGTGCATATTGGTGCAGGAGGTATTCCACGTCTCCAGGCAAAAGGCTGCTCATGCCTTTTGGACTAGTGAATGCTGCAGAATTTTGTAATTCCTGACTGGCGCTATATGATATCTCACCTTCTACCTCCTTCTAGCTACATTATCATTTGCTTACAACAGTGAATCAGGTTGGAGACCAGACAACAATGAGGGGAGGAGGTTTGTCATCAGTTGGCTGAGGTGTTCCTGCCCCAGATAAGGTGTTACTCTTTGCTTAATCCATGTGGATTGTAGGGCCTATTTGCTTTTGCAACCTCTACTAGAGCACCTGAGCCAAGTAGGTGCTGGAGATTCAGGACAAACAGGATGTGCCAATTCCAGTCCAAATGCTTGCTCAGCCTTTAGAGACTTAAAACTGCCAATCCCACACCCAAGCAGTACAGCCTCTAAAGAAGTGTAAATTGTAATATGCTTAAACTTTAGGCAGACATGGGATGAATTTAAATGCCTATCCTACAGTGCACTGGCCCATAGGGAGGATCAGAGCACTCAGAGAGATGTTTTATTAGTCCCAAACTACTTGCTTCCCCCAAAAGTGGGGAATTGATTCAGCTGTTGTTTCCTTCCCACTTCCACAGTATGTGGAGTGTGGATGGAGAATGCTAAAGCCAGAATGAACTTGAGCTGGGAGGCACCAGGAGCAGCACTGAACAAGAGGGCATGCCATCATTGCAATAGTAGAGGAAGAGGAGTGGTGCTGTGGCAAAGTAAGAACAAATGAAAATGGCTAGAAGAACAGGCAAGCAATTAAGGGAAACCAGGAAAGAAAAATCTTGTGGGTGGAGAATGAGGGAAAGAGGAAGAGAGACAAACTGGTAGGTACACTTAAAAAAAGAGAGGAAGTTGCCCCTCTCTTGTTGTGCCATATCTTGCCATACTTGCATTAAAGACCTAGCATTCTGACATTCAGCACCATAGTATTGGCTCTAAGTACTTGCCTTTCCTTAGAGATTGAGGAGCAGCTGGGAATTGTTGGGACTCTTGATAGGAGGCAGATGTTCAGCTTGCCCATGTGGGTGGGGAGTAATAAGCAGTGCTTCTACTGCAGTGTTAATACGAAGATAGTACTTTTTTTTTTTTTTTTACTTTAAAATGCTTAACTCGATCCATCAGGTTCTCAGTACTTCAGAAAGCTGTAATGCTGGCTGGTTTCATCTTCCTAACCACATGAAGTTGGATTTCCAAGAATGGTGTGGTCTACATAGCTGTTTTCTCTAAGCTCAATAATCACTTTGTCCCTTTTTCTGACAATAATGCCAGTTTCAAAAACTAAAATTAAGTTAAACCTGCTCTTTTTTAGTTAAAGCAACTTGATGGCTGTGTATTAGTAACCACAGCGCATATAGCCAGGTACCTCTATTTTGACACATTTGTATCTGCTAATGTACAGAACCTCATGAAAACTTTAACATTCAAGAGCACCATGTGGATTTGGAGTGTTCCTGGAAGATTTTGATTCCATAGATGAAAAACATTATTTTGGTCACTTGACATTTGATTTAATCCTCTTCCTACTTGTCTCATGGTATTTTAAAGGGGATCTATATTCACTTTCGTCAGATCAAGTCACTTGCATTACAAAAGATAAGTACCACTCCTTGGCATGAATGAATTCAGAAATAAATACTAAAAATTAACTTTCTAATAATGTAAAATTCCAAAATGCCTGCAATAGGCAGACAAGGTTATTTGGGTAAATGTGATGTTTTTTATTAGACCAACTGAAAAGTTGGTGTGGGAAAGCCTGCAGTGAGAAGAATGGGTGCTTTTTTCTCCATTAAATGATCTATGTTGTAAACACAAATGAATGAAAACTGTCTCAATGAAATACAACATGATCTTATGTGACAAGAAAGAATTTTTAATTTAATGCATTAACCCCTTTTTTAATTGGTTCCTTCCTTTAATTGAGTCCTGGTCAGTCTATATTAATCTCGGAGGTATTTATTTGACATGGACAGAAACAGACATCATAATGGAACAAAATGGAAAAAGGAATAAAATATATATTACCAAATAACTTATTATGGTTAGGACTTGATAAGGGGACTCAGAGATTAGAAGCTGTAGTTAAATGACCAGTGAAAGTTCATTCCAACAGTTTAACATGTTTTTTAATTAAAGTTAAAAAAAATAAGAAAAATGTAAGGCCAATTGGCATATACTCAGTATTTCTTCAAAAACTAACTACTCCTTTTATTGTACTATGTTTGATTTCTCTTGCATTTCTTGCATGTAAGAAAAGAAACCTCAGTTAAAAATGCAATGGGTTATGCTCCTACTTCTTATCAAGCTTATAATGAAACAATTATTAAGACTTTAATTTTTAGAGTAAAACAAACCATTCCAGTGAAGACTTAAGCAAGTGACCATCATTCTAGTTCAAAAACAGATTACCTGAATAACTCTCATGCATCCGTAAATCCTCTTGGCACTTACACATTTAATCAAACTGCTCTGTGCATACTGGCTTATGGACGTATGTAGTGTTGTGCATCTCCTTGCTTATAAAATGGTTTATTAAAGAAATTAAACCTTTCAAATTTTGGTACTACTGATCTGCAAAAGAAAATAATTCCCAAACAGTGTGTGTATTAGACATGCATAATGAATTAAAAATTGGAAATCTAGTTGAGTTTTAAAAATCACTTCTTTCCCCTCCCCCTCTTCCTTCCCCTTCTTTATTTATCCTTGGCTGTCTCTTGCCTTGTCCTAAGCAGGGCTACAAAATAAAGTAGGTATTCACAGCAGATGCATTTATGCATGGCTTCTACAAGGAACACTGTTGCCCTTGTTCCTTATAGCTGATCTCTAAATAATAATTAAAGAAAAAGCAACACCTTGCCATGAGACACTTATTCCTTGAAGCCCCGTTTTCATTAATCCAGTGGGAAGTGGAGTCAGTGATAGCAGCTTCTCTTTAGAAGTCCCTGGTAGAGAACTATGGCTTAAGGCTTGCAGCTTGTTCTTGGAAACCTCACACAAGTCTTTTATGGGCTTGGAGGAAGAAGCAGAAAGACATGAAATAGGGGTGAGGAAGGCAGGGAAGATGAGACGTTAATAAGGAAGTAACTTTTTGTAAGTTACTCCAAGCATTCTAGTGGGTTGTTTCTTACAAAGTTTGTTTGATTTGTTGTGATGCAGTGATCTAACTAGTCAAACAGCCTTATCTTTGCATGTATGCTTGGGACATTACATTGTATAGTCTGAAAGTCTCTTCAGTTGGTAAACTTGCAAATTGCATCCAAACCATTTTGTAAGTTACTTCCTGGTTTTAGTGTGCATTGCCTGTTTCTTGCATACTGTGTGCTAATTCAAAACAAAACTTTCAAAAAGATTGTGAATACTGTCTGGCCTGTCTAATGTGGTTTTTACCTTGCACATAACTGCTTATGGTGATTACATGTTTTATTTATTTCCATATCTTCAGTTAAGCTGCATAATACATGGCCTGGATCTCATTGTGTGGTTATAAGAATTTTAATACTATGAGAAGACAGTATTAGATATAATGGTCTCAACCCAGTTTTTAATAGTAGATGAGGACTGAGTCCTCAGATATGGTTTGGGAGACTGTACCAGGTCACTGTATCAGGTACAGTTTGTTAGCACATGCTCCTTCCTTCCTGGGTCATGTCATGAAATGTTTCTAGTGCTCTAAAAAAGCCTTCTGTTTTGATCCCCTAGAAATACATATTTTTTTGGTTAGGTTAAAGTAAACCCTTTCTTTAACAGAATTATGTTGTGGATTTCCTTTCTTCTTCTGTAATTTTATCAATAAAATCTGATTTTAAGATGACCTGTCTTTTGGTATTGGATACTAATTGTTAGATTAGTTGCTCGCAACCAAACACTTCCTGGTCTTCCTCCCCACCACGAAAAGAAACTGATGGCTTTGTCACATTGGGTGTCGAGAAGTTTATAATTTCCTTCCCCAAAATTAGTACAGGAAGCCTTCCAAGAGCTTGAGGGGGGGCAAATAGAAATACAAATAAATGGAAAAATCTGAGGTGTGATTACAAAGACAATATTTATCTTCAACATCCATTTAAGCTATTTGAATTTAAATTTATTATGTATTATGCAATCATATTAGAGAAGCAAAGGAAAGTATCTGCAGTATGCGGTCTCAGTAGCATCACTTATTAACGTGCAGAAGTGAGTTTCCCTATATTTTCCATGTTTTGCACAGTTCAAACCTAGATCTATGTAGCCTCTAAAATTTTAGACCTTGAGAGCCTTTTTATGTTGGTAACTTTTTGAGTTACTTTCTGAACTGAAAGGATCCTAAACCAATTAATTTTTTTTCTTTAATCTGGAACCATGTAGTTTTATACAGCAGCTTGACACAGGAAATGAAGGTTTAGCTGACTAGTGTGGTGATATTGAGTAAGGCTAAGTGCAGGCTTTTAAATGCTATGCTATGTATGGAGTACTGAGAGGTCAGAATTGGGGAGATGATAAAATTGTTTATTAGCCTAAGTAGGATTTAAGCATGTTCTAAATCTGAAATTGTTAAAACAGCATATGAAACGCAACTCAGAAGAAATCTTTCAGGTTAGTCATATCTGCAGTAGATCCAGGAGGCTACCTGGCTCTGAAGGAGACAAGTATTCGTGCAATACTAGGCCATGGTATAATTTTAAAGGAAAAAAGTCAGCAAAAGTAGTTGAAAAACATGGCCCCACCCAGGCTTCATATTCACTTTTTTGCCATAGTGCAGCAGTTCCTTACTCTTTTGGCTACCTCTGTCATTCTTTTGCATCAACTTTGCATCTTTCTCAGGCCTGCACTTCACACATCAACCTCAGCTTTCAATTTCTGATTTCATTTTTGCAACTATTTACAACTTCTTTTCTGCCTAGTATTCTAGTATAACAGGTAAGGGGTTTTTTGTGGGTTTCTTTTGTGTGTGAATTACAAGTGATTTCAGGTACTCCTGCCAATTTCTTGGCTTTTACAATCACCTATTTAGATTAAATGATTTTTTTTCCTGTTGCTATATGAAAGATCCATACCAACAGTAAAGTATAATCCTGTGATTGTAAAAGTTACTGTCCTTAAAGTGTTATCAAGTGCACAAAGGCACACTATTTTTCTCAAAAATGCTAACTGAAATATAGGCACGCAGGGTTCTTTGTGTGAATCTGATATCTTTTATTAGATGAACTTAAATAGTTGGAAAAAATTTTAAGCAAGTTTTCAGGTTTAAAAACCCTTTGTCAGGCTGAGGAAGTCTCTCCTGTTGGTGTGTGCTCATCCAGGAAGAGCACACACCAACTGCAGACTTCCTCAGCCCGACAAAGGGTTTTTAAACCCGAAAGCTTGCTTAAAATCTTTTTCCAACTATTTAAGTTGGTCTAATAAAAGATATTAGATTCACCCAAAGAACCTTGTCAGCCTATGTCCTCAGACCAACACGACTACAACCTACACCCCTGTAGCTGAAATATATTAAGCTGTTATTAGTAACAGTAAGATTTTTTTTTTTTGTGATTACTAATGGAGAGAGAACCTTGGGTATTATTAGCTGTAGGAGTTGCAGGCAGATTGCCGGATAGTTTGGCATTTAGGTTTCATGTTTTCTTCCTCTGCAGAACATGTGTCATTTGTCTCTACCTGTTCTTTTGCTTTTCTACCAAAATCTTTGGAGTTCTGTCCCAGTACTAGTCTGTCAGAAGTCTGTCTGACTTTGTTTCAGGTTCTTGTTCCATGTAGGGCTCATAAATTGGTTGCATTTATTCCTTTATTATTGCTTTAACTGTATGCTTACCAACATTACTTTGTCTGCTTGGATTCTTCTTCTTCAGCTGTTGACATAGCAACCCTTATGGTTCCTGCTTCAGAGACGCTTGGAATTTCTGCTAAAACTGAAAAGGCAATGTTTGTAAAAGATATATTATACAGAATTAAACATTTGTTTTCCATTAAAAGTGTTTTACAGGAACAAATTCAACACTTTTCAAATGTTCCTGATTGACAGGCCTGGAGCCTGGCATATCTTGTTCCCTAGTAAGATGGAAGGACATAAATAACAGAGTGAAGTCTTACTGTACCCCCGTGTGTATGTGAAATTAGATTAGTATCCTTGGCTTATTCTACCCTGGTCCTCTCTACTGCAGTTGCCAGCAAAGTGTGCTTGTTTGAAACTGCTTTGTCATCTGCATCTTTGTCAGATGGAAGCTACTTTAAAATACATCAAGAACTGAAGCAGCTGAGTTGGGAATTGCAGCTAAGCATGGTATAATTAGAGGGTGTAAATAAAATAACCTACAGTTAATATTACATTGTTTTGCCCACAAACATAATTATATATAATCATTGTCCAATTTTACCAGCTGACTTATTTTTATCCTGTGGGTTCTTGGGCACTAAAAAGCAAAACAGATGAATGCAAGAAAGATTTTGTAGATGATCATTATTCTTTTTTTGTTGTTGTTTTCTTGTTACCAGAAAACCAGAATTGACGGACTCTGCCTCTCTGCTAGAGACTTTCAAGTTTCTTGAAAATGCAGCAGCAGAATTCAGTGATGAAGAAGAGGAAGAAGACATTGAAGGAAGAGAGAAAACAATCATTGATACCTCGACGGTAGGTCAAAAAATCCAATTGAAAAACTTGTGGTGGACTGATAAGAGCTTATTGTGATCCCTTACAGATGAACATTTGCATGATGTACATCCCCCAATGTGTATGTATCTGCAAATCATTAAATGCGCTCACATCTGACTGTCAAGTTGATAATATGAGAACAGGGGCATAACAAATGAATTCCATTTATTTATGCCTAATGGTAAGCTTGCTTCCTCAATGTGAAAATTGTCCCTAACACACAAATTCAGCTCCATCATTTGTTTGTTGTATGTATGGCTCTTAGAGTGAAAGGACAAAATACCTTATAAAACAGGAGAATGAACAAGAAAACAAAACAAATTAAAGCAGAAGTTTGAGCATCAGCATAAAACAGAACCCATCAAACCAATATCCCAGCCTACCTTTGGTTGCTAAATGCAACCAGAATCTTACAGTGCATCTGAAAGATGTCCAGGTTCAAGCTCTGGTGGACCTCAAGAAAGAGGGATTTCTAGAGTTAAGGAGCAACTGGTGAAAATAATTTCCCGCATCTTTTCATCAAGCAGAATTACCGCATTGATGGCACTTGCAAGAAATTGCTCTTGGCTCTCTTCAGAGATCACAATGGGACATAAGGGAGAAGCTGGTACTCTTAGATATGTAGGGTCCAGACTGATTAGGGCCTTATGAGTCAAAACCAGTACCTTGAATTTTACTTGAAAAACTTTTGGTGTCCAGTGCAGACTCTGGAGCATATGAAGTTGTGCTCCTGGCAACCCAACCCTGTCAAAAGGGAGATCACTGTATTCTGCACCAGCTGCATCTTCCAGATAGTCTTCAAGGACAGTCCCATGTAGAGCGTGTTGCATGGATGTTTGTTGCCAGATCTGAATCTAGAAAAAAAAGGATCACAGTCTTTTCACCCCATGAAGCTGATGGAAGACATTCTTAGCACTAATGCCACCTAAACTTCCATCCAGGTGCAGCAGAGGGTACAGGGGCACCCCAAGACTGTAAATTTGAGTGACAAGGGGAAGCTGAATCCCCTCTCTGAAAGGTGCTCAATCTCCTGCCAAGTTGTGCAGTTTTGACTGAAACTGAAACCATCCACATCCAATGCCCAAGTGTATCTAGACGCTGGGAAAAGACTGAGACTGTGGGGCCTGGGTCAGATGAGGAAGAAAAGCAGAGCTGGGTGTCATCAGCATAGTGATGGCACTTCCCTCCAACTCTCTGCATAGTCTTGCCCAGCAGCTTTATATATGCATTAAACAGACAGGGTGACACAGTGGAGCCCTGGGGGACTCCAAAGTGACTCCATTACTAACTTCCAGGACCTTCCTGCTAAGATAAAACATAATCACTTTAGAGTTGTCCTGTGAATACCCACCAGATCATGTAAAGATTTTATTAACACCTCCTAGTCAACTTGAAGCAGGTGAGTAGTACTTACTTATTTAAAGTCAGCTGTGTAAGCATGCTCAGAAAGATCTGAGAAGGCGCACTACTCAGTATAGATTCCTGAAGTATTGGTTGCAAAAACAATTGTAAACCATGGCAAAAATCAAAATGAGTGACTGTGAGGGGAGAGAGACTCAGGTTCTTTGCCTCCTCAGCCGGAGTGGTATTTGAACCGACATCTTCTACTTTCCATGAGCTTCATAGATTTCATAGACATTAGGGCTGGAAGGGACCTTGGAAGATCATCGAGTCCAGCCCCCTGCCCAGGGGCAGGAAGTCAGCTGGGGTCACAGGATCCCAGCAGTATTAACGTCCAATTGACTCTTAAAGGAATCCAGAGTAGGTGCTTGCACCCTCCGGCGGCAATCTGTTCCAGGCCTTGGGGGCTCGGACTGTAAAAAAAAAAAAAAAAAAAGTTCTTCCTTACGTCCAGCCTGAAATGGTCTTGGAGAAGTTTGTAACCTTTTGACCCTGTCTTCCCATGGGGCGCTCTGGTGAACAGGCGTTCCCCCCAGTCCTGATGCACACCCCTTATATACTTATAGGCAGCCCCCAGGTCCCCCCTGCGCCTGCGTTTTTGCAGGCTGAAGAGTCCCATAGCTCTCAGCCTCTCATCATAAGGCCTGTTTTCCTGACCTCTGATCGTGCGCATGGCTCTCCTCTGGACTCTCAAGCTTCTCCACATCCATTTTAAATTGTGGAACCCAGAATTGGATACAGTACTCCAGCTGTGGCCTCACCAAGACAAAGTACAGTGGGAGGATGACATCCTGGAATTTGCTAGAGAAGCATCTATGGATGTAAGCCAGAGTTCTGCTTGATTTGCTGGCTGCAACATCATATTGGTGGCTCATATTCATCTTGTGGTCAGTCATGACCCCCCAAGTCCCCTTTCAGCCATGGTGCTAGCAAGCATAGCACTGCCGAGCCTATAAGCATGCTGCAGGTTTTTCTTCTCAATGTGGAATACCTTGCATTTTTCGATGTTGAAGGCCATCAGGTTTTTGTCCGCCTATTTTCCGAGCCTGTCAAGGTCGGCCAGGAGTTAACTAAACTAGAGTCAAAAGCTCCCTCAGCCCCTGCTCCCTCTGAACACTGGCTCAGTGGGTAGTCCAGAGGGATGTACATGTGGAGAGGAAGGCAGTGGGAGACTGGCTCAGTGAGATGGATACTGCGCTACAAGGGGGAGGCTTCTGTCTTCTGGCCCCAGCTCATTTTCCCCAGTGGTGTTTCTGCATTTTACATTTAATAATCATTGTATAAAATGGATAGACAGCTGGTGCATGTGGGGGAGGTGGTATTAAAACAACCACACTGTTTAATGCAATCTTCAGCCTTGTTTTAAAGTTAAACATTTTAATTTTTCTGATTTTAGTTTAGGAAAACATTTGATTCTGAGTATTTGTATAAATTGTCTTAAAGCTGTAATATTCATGTGCAGGAAAAAAGATTTTTGCTGCATCCCAAAACTGAGTTGCTGCATTTCATTCTGAGCTGTGGATGCAGCATATTTGAAAAAAAGTATTACAAAAATAACAACACTTTGGGGGGAGGGGAGGGTTGCCTGGTTCATTCTTTTTTTGTTTTGTGAAATAACTAACCTTTCCAATTAACATTGCCACCTTGATGGTGTCACAAGCAATCAGATAAAAATCCAAGGCGCATAGAATTAATGTATTTTTTTGTTTGGGCCAAAAAAAATCATATTTACCTGATTTTAATATAAAATATATTTAAAAATTGTAGTTGAGTCATGATAGAGCCATCATTAATTTTTGGAAACAGATAACTGTATAAATGAGGTTTGCTGTTTGTTTTGTTTTGTTTTCTTCTTAAGAAATGCTTTTACAGAGGATCTTTGTCAAACTTGTTGCCACTAACCCATGGCCTATGAGGTAATGTCTGCGACTTCTGGGTAAAATCAGCTTTAATACAGTTTATTCAATGTGCAAGCCAAGGAAACAAGGTTTAAGTGGAATGTTTAGTCTTCTTCTAGATCTTAGAATTGTTTCTGTCTTAGGAACTGTGAAGAAGTCTTCTAGCCAGATTAGAATAAACAGAAATGTCTCTCCATGAGCTAGAGAGTGCAGGCCTCTATGTTGAATTTATTTGTGATGGCTTTTAATAAGGTCTTAAGTGAAATGGGTAATGTTGAACATCTTTTTTTTCCATTGAAATAGATATGTTAATGTAGTTTTAGTGGCATCTGGGTCACGTGTCAGCCAAACAACTGTAATTTAACCAGTCAATTTTCTTGCTTTAGGAGAAGTTCAGAATGCTTATCTTATAAGTTTAGCAAGTTATCAAGCTAGTATTTGAAGTGATCAAGGAACACCCAACATGTAGAGGTAACAGTAGTTAAATCTCGGCCTTTAGACCCAGCCAAATGATTTTGCCCAGCAAAGATGAATTTGAGCAATAAGAATTCCGTGATCACCTCATGCACTCATCTCTGATATTTTAATTTTAGCTATATTGCCCCCGCAGAGATGAAATTAAATATCAGAAATAGTATTTCCAGAGATGTAATCAGATTTAGACCAGTCACTGAGGGTGTGACCAAACCTACATATTACCTGCTTTAAAAGGGAAGGGGTGGTTTCATTACAGCTGTATCACTAGGATCATGCAGACACAGTCATTTCATCTTAACATCCTTTGTGATCCTTTGGTATCAATACAGTTGTTACATCTGTCTGTGCCATGATACTAGGTGCTTAGCCTTTTGTAAAGGTTCCACTTTATGAACTTTTCTTGAAGCAAAACTAAGAACTCTGCAGTCTTTTGGGCTTAAATTGTGTGCATGTTTGTGTAAATTAATTGTAATCTGCACTCTTGTAAATTGCTTGTATAACCTTTTCTTTTGAAAGGATGAGTATTAACTACCTTGAAGCAGAAAGATTGTTATAAGGCAGAATTTTCAATTTGACTTAAAATTTGAACACTAAAGTATGTGTGTGGTATCCACTTTGCCCTACCCAAAATATTAACCTATGTGTTGATAGATAGTAAGTAAAAACAGAGAAAAAATATATCTATTAGAGTTCCACGTATGAGTAAGGAACATGGGCATTTTAAAGTTAGATAGATAGATGATAGATTTTAGTTTAATTTCCTTCTTTGTTTCTCTTTAGATTGTGAGGAAAAGAGTGCTGTCTGATAGCAGTGAAGATCGAGATACAGAAGAAGCTTTGAAAGAATTTGATTTCTTGGTTACATCAGATGAAGGAGATGGAGAATCCAGAAGTTCAGGAGATGGAACAGACTGGGGTAAGGAAATTTTAATGGATTGCACAGGGAAAAAAAGAGGATTAAGCATACAAGCTGCTATTTTGCCAGGATTTTGTCCAAAACAATCCTACTCTAATTTCTTGCAAGGCAGACTGAGACTCTTTAAAAAACTTATTTTACTATTACCTTTCTATATCCAGCTTTTATGCAGAGGTTCTTAGAAGCTCACTTTTTGAGTTGTGTTGTCTATTTTAGATATTGTAAATGCAGTTTGAATATTTACGTGTGGAGCTTCGATATATTTTTTTCAATCTATTCAGACTCCATAGATGGAGTATGATAAAACAACATATATAATAAATCAATATATTGTGGACAGGAACATGAGAGGCATTGAAACTTCTCCTTTCTTCATCTTTCATGGAGAAAGCAATGCGAGTCATAATGACTTAGTTTTATTGTATTCAGTGTACAAATAGGTAGCTGAAGCTGTACATCTCGTGGCCCAACCCATTTTTACAGATGCCATTTCGCTGAGGCTTCCAGGGTTACGATTGGACATCATTTTTCAATATCATAATATTGATTCCCTGGGGAGCTAGACACCATAGATGTTTAACAGGATAAAATGCATAACATCACAGTACATTTAAATACAGCTACAGGAATTCCCTTAGGTCTGTATATTTAAAAGTTGCTGCTTTGCCAGAAATAGTTGCCTTGAAAGCCATCCTGGAAGTTGCTTGTTGTTATGATTATAACTTTATCTTTTCTGCTTTTAGATTTTACTGTAACTGCCATTTGTTTCACTGAAATGTAATTAGCTAGCATTTGTCAGTAGGAGACTTATTTTGAGACATTATTTTAATGCCTCAAACACCTTTGCCACCTTTTTTGTCTTCCATTGGGGAACAGCCCAATACGTATTTCTAGAAGTCTACTAAAAAACAAAAGAAAATGAAAAACGTTTGTCATGGGTATCTTGTATAGGATAGTAATACTCAATTTTTGTGCAGCAATAAAACTAAGGCATATTTTATAGCCATAGGTTTTCAATCCTTTTGAAATTTAATTCACAGAAGATTTTTTCAGCTAATTTATATCACAGCCCGTAATTAGTTATAATGGCCTGTCTACATAAACTTTTTCCTGGATCTGCCATTTTTTATCCTTTAGTAGTTCATGTATGTAAATTTGATTTAAATGAAACTTGAAATTTAAATTTAATATCTAAATACTTAGTATATTGGAAGCAGAAGGATATAGATATAAATGTTGTTTAAAAATGGACTTCTAGCTTTGATATACATTTTTATAACCAATTTTAAGTAGTTTTAATAATAATAATAATGTGTTAAACAGCTATGATTGATTGCCATAACTGATCACATTTTAAAAACTCTTAAAAGTAGCCAGTGAGCAGTCTGCAAATTATATAACCTTTACATACTAGTTTAAGATGATTTGTAAGATTTGATTGAATATGACACGCAGTACATGCAAGAGATACTCAAGTGCATAGTACCAGAGGTGTGCTATAGAGAATTCATGTCTAAAATAATTTATTGACAATTTTGCCAACTATGTCCTACATGTTTAAGCATTTTTGCCTGAGGAGAGCAAAGACTTCATCTCTAATCTGGAGAAGAAAAGTACAGTCAGCTAAAACGTCTCTCTCTAACTTCAAAATACTAGTCCATTTCCAGTCCATTTCTACCAAACACAGAAATGCCACCTCACCTTAGCTCATTGCGTTTCATCATTTGTATATGTTAACAATATCTACTTTAAGCATTCAAAACAGATATTTATTCTGTCTACTCTGCATTCTTTCAACTGTCCTTTTTATTGCTTGTATTAAGTAAAAGATAACTATATAACCCTTAATTCTAGCCTGTCCAGTAACATCAAATAGATTGGGCTTAATTTATTCACCTAATTTAAATAGTAAAACTGCTGTATCCTTTTTTCTTTTGTTTTCTCATGTTCTTTTTGTGTATAATGTCCTTATTCCTATTTAAAACCTATCCCTTTATGTTGTCTCCTCAACTCAGTTATTTTTTTTCAAATAGTGATCAAACCTTGGCACTTCCCCCAGTTGTGATTTTGATTAAGTATTTAATTGCATTATTTATTAACAGTTGTGGCATCTTCATTGCCATTCTCTTTGTTATTAATCTCTGCTCCCTGACCAGTTTTGTACCCACCCAACCCTTGCTTATTGCGAGAGAGAGAGAAACTAAGTTAATTTTTGACATTCTTCTAATTAATTTTGTCGCCTTCTCAGACAGATCAGCCTTTTCAGTTTCACTTCTCACTTAGTAACCCTGTTTTGACATTTGCTCTGTCATGTCACCACCCTTATTCTTTGTGTTAAAGCCTTTTTTCAGAATACCTCCGTTTATCTTCTTGTGTTGTTCACTTTTAGCTTTTCTCTGGGTGCATCAACACTTGTGCTGTACTGCAGAGTAATTAGCTCCACAGTAAAGCATCACTGTCTGCACATGCACTGGCATTAGGGTGCAGTAATTAATTAACTCCGCTGTAAGATAGTATTGTCAGGGATAGTACTATCTTATGGCAGAGTAAGTAACTGCACTGACACACGCATGTAGATTGTGATGGGTTGGCTGGGGTTTGAGGGTGCTAAAGTGTGAGGGCTGCCTGCCACCTAGTCACACAGCTCTGCAGGTTTTGCACTTCCATGCCCCAGCTAGCTCCTCTGATACTGCCATCTGCCAGCCAAAGGCTGCTCTGCTCAGGCTCAAATTGCTGTCATCTCAGGTGCACATGTAGACTGCACACGGGAGCATTTGACTGGCTAAAACAGCTCTGGAATTTATTGCACATGTAGACTGTGTCTCTTTCCTATCCACTTACCACCTCATTTCCTTCTGAGTACTACTATCCCTATATTCTCACAAACGTTTTGTATGCCGTAATGCCAAAATAACATCTGTCTTAGCCCCAGCCCTTTTGTGCAAACTACCCTCTCCCTTCTATCTCTGCTAGTTATTACAATTCTGGGGATATTTCTTACCTTCTGCCCCCAGAAAAATATGCAGATTTGCTGACAATGGAGAAGAGACATACTTTACGGAGAGCTGATATGCATTCCTTTCCCCTGAAGCATGTATGGGGAACAGTTTATGTATAAAATGTTTATGTATGTGCACAGATCAAAAGGATATGACAACCTTGTGGACATTCCAGCACAAAAGATCCATTAAGAGAATAAGTTCTTGCTTTGAATTTTTTTAATAAAAAGGTGTAGTTTATTCATGTGCAAAGTAAATTGGTTTTCTTTTTTAGATTTAAGTGTCAGATATTTTGAACCAACGGAAGTTATCTTTTGTGTAAAGAAATTCTCTAAATATGTATTCTCAGTGTGTAGATTATGCGAGATATACCCTTTAAATCAATGATTCCCAAACTCTTGACAGGTTGCGTACCACCAATTTTTAAAATGATACAACCTTAAGTGCCACCAGCAAATGTTTCAGTTCAGCCTTTAAGTACCACCAGCAAATTTTTGTCATATAAAGTTATGATAAATCTGTTAGTGCATACCACTGAAAGGTTGTCTGTGTACCCCTGGTGATACCTGTACCACAGATTGGGAACTGCTGCTTTAAATGACAGACCACTCATAGCCAAGTGATCTGGTATGAACCATTAGCAAAATTTTTTTTTTTTTTTTAAAGGCATGTGATCATTTTGTCTGTTTTTAAAGCAAATTGGGTGTTAGGGATACAGAACAAATTTTAAATATTATGGAAGAAATTGTAATGAAGAAGGTCTGGTCTTCAAATAATAGCTTTTTTACCAACAAGTAAACAGCTGGAATGGTCATAAAATAAACCTAATTTAAAATAAATATGTAAATGGAGGAACTGTACTGCACATGGCTCTCAGCTGTATGTAACAGTCAGCAGTTGTGGTCCATTCTTTCAGTGTGCTGGAAGAAATATGCTTAATATGTTTACATACAACCTTTCATTATGATTTTCAAAGCATGTAACACATATTGGTAAGTAGTACTTTCCCCTGTCTTTCAACTGGGGCATGTGAGAATCTGTGGCTTAGTTCATGTGTCAACACAATTCAAGAGAACTTTGTATAAGAGTCAGCCTTCCTAACTGAGTCTCATGTTCAGATCACTGGACATTCTGGGTCTGTCTGTGTGGCACAATGCAGGGTCATTTTCTAGATACCTCCAACTAACTTTGTTCATGCTGGTGTATCATATTGGAGTCTAAAGGCACAAGGCAACAGTATGCTAAGCCCTATTCTCAAAAGTTTATTTGCTTGCAACTGCAGTGTCATACTAACATCAGTCTCCTACTCAAATTCTGGAGCTAGTGTATACAGAAGTGGCTCGGGTATATATATGCATGTTGCTGCCTTCACTGCAGTTTCCTTTATTTTTCTGGGACTGATAACTCAAAGTTTGCCTGTCGTTTGTTAATTCACATTTTTTTTTTTACTTTAAGACTTTTTTTGAACGCTTGATGAAATGTAATTTTAAGTGGTTGAATAGAGTAACATGAACTTACTTTTTAATATAAATGATAGCATATGACTAGGATTATCAATATGAAATCCCAACACAGCACCCAGACTTCAAGTGTTGGTTTAGTTAAGAAATATAATTGCTACTTATGGATACAGTATTTTTCTCTGGTTAAAAAAAATATATATATAAAAGCAGAATAAATATTCCATGCATGTAACTGGAAATAAATAAATCCCCAAGCAGGTGTTGCTTAAGTTCAAAGTGCCACTTTCTTTGGTAGAGCGATTAGGCACGTGAAATTGAATCTCAAAATTATTGTCATCTTAAAAAATTTTGGACAAAAAAATTGCAGTGCAAATAACAATTTTATAGCATTCACAACCAGTGCTATTTCTGTGCATCTTGAAAGGAAGGCTTAAATAAAATTGACAACAGCTGCTACCTCCTTCAGTGAAAAATACTTAGTGACATTATTGAAAAAGGATATGTTTCATTTGTTTCACTCTGTTTAGAAAAGGAAGACCAGTGCCTCATGCCTGAAGCCTGGAATGTGGACCAGGGAGTAATAACCAAACTCAAGGAACAATACAAAAAGGAGCGCAAGGGGAAAAAAGGGGTGAAGAGTAAGTGGAAAACATTGCACCTTAAAATCATAAATCCCACATCTTTCACACCCCTAATTCTATCTTTCTTTCAATGTTTTCCTGAAACTACTTACTCTTTTACTTTGCTGCTCCTGACTGCTTTCCTGTTGTTCATCAATTTTCAGGGGTTGAAATTAATGATAGTCAATCCAGTTGCCTGAGAAAGTAGAAAGATGTTGCCTGGGATATAACTTTTCCAGTCTAGTGTTGACTAAATTCAAAAGGATTTGTGCTGGACTTGGGTTGTGCACATCTAACATTTAAATGTTTATTTGGATACTTTACTGTCACTGTACATCTTAATTAGGAAAACAGAGAAGCTTTTATTTAGTTTGGTTGGGTGACCAGTTTCGGAGTCTGGTAAATAATTTTTTCAAAACCCAATGCAATGTTTCTAGTATCATGTTAGCTGGTTTTGGGGGTGGGGGAAGACAGGTGTGGTGGGAAGGAAAGGAGGAAGTTAATTTCTACCCCTGTTTTACTTAGTAATCACAACATGAAAGTCATGCTGCTGTATCTTGTTATGCAGGGCTCGAAATGGAAAATAAATCTTATTGACAGCCTATTTGTCACAGGACGTATTGACCAATTATCATTTTATCTGTAGACTTAATGATTAAGTGTCATATTTGATTCAGATCAAATAGCTGATGAGCATCTGAAATACAGTTTCTAGCCCTGTGTGTCATACTTCTGTCACCTCTCTTGAAATGCAAATCCATTTTGTAAATCCTGTTTTCTAAAACAACATAAGCATCAAAGCTTTTCAGAATCAAGTTAAATGTTTAAAATTGTAAATTGCCACTATTTCCAACCTACAGCTGTGCTGAGAATTTTGGGGGAATAATTGGGGGGAAACTGAAGTATAAAAAAAGTTGTACCTTATTCAATGAGCAATTTGAAGACTGTTTCATTACTCCTCCCTTTGTGGGAAGATGCTTATTAGTGTGAAGGAACTGTCAATTCTAATACATGTTTGCAGAGTCATGCAAACAGCAGCTCCTCTCCATCACATTATTCTAGTTGCCTCACTTTGTTGTTTTGCAATTAATAAATGCTAATTGTGATTAGTAACTACCCAGTCATTGCTAGTTCTGAGATTGTAGTACAGGATAAACTAACCAAATCAGTACTTACCAGTATAAGAATCTATTTAAAATATAAATGACTTTTGAGAGAACTGCATGTCCTTCAGTTTGGACTATTTAAGTACTTTTGACTTATCTAAAGAAAATGCAAGCCTGGTAAGAAGCTAAGCATCACAAAGTTTGGTCAACAAACTATTTTTTTACATTTAAAATAGAGCTATAATATACCACATGAGTTCACAGAAAATTAGTTCAGTGACTTTATCTGTGAAATTAAAATTCATGTATATGATACCTAGTATAAATATAGGATAAATATTTAACTTTCTAAAAAAAAATTTTAAGAAATCAAAATGAGTACCTTTCTCTCAAGCAGTTGAGTGCATTTGTTCTAATTTATCAAATTGTATTAACTGATCATTAATTTAGGCACAGATGCATCAACCTTTTTTTGCATGTTTAATGAGCAAAGTGCCTGATGAAAGATGGCATTTTGGTACCTTATGCTACTTCAAAAGGATTATAAGTACAGCTCAATGTCATGTTTTTTTGATGGAGGGCTGAACTTGGGTGACGCAGTACAAAAATTAAGCATCTTTCCATGGAGAAACCATTGTTGAAAGGGCATGAACTTAAAAATTGGGAAGAGTTGCAACCTGTTATCACCTGTTCATGATTTTAGTGAAAAAGTGGTGAGCAAAAGAATCTTGGGGAAGTGGTGGGGCACAGGGTAAAACCCTAAAGGACTAAATATCTTACTGTTGAGATGTGAAATTTGTTTATGTAATTTTCCTCTCAACATAGATGAGTATCTAGAGACTGAACTGTTATTCAGTAAAATGTTGTGCATTTACTATAAATCAAATGCTGTAGTAAAACAGTCTTGCAAAATCTTTCTTACTGTTTGCCTGTAGCAAGTAATGCTCTGAGACCAACAAGTAAAATACCATCTAGTATTTTTATCATTGTTATGGTAAGGGTGGGCAAAGTGGATTTGCAGCTGGTTTAGAAAACTTACGATTTTGCAAGGCTGCAGTAAAATTTTCTATGAAGTAATATAATAAAATCATACATATATTAGAATACACTTCTATGTTAACCTGCTTAAAAATAGCTGTATTATTTACTGGTCTAGGGAAAAAAAACATATTGGACTATGGGTAAGAGATTTTCCCATTCTTAATTAAACTTACAACAGGAAAAACTACCGAAGATATGTTTCAGCCTCAATCCTATATAAAACAGTCAAAACAGGGATGTGGGAAAATGATGGAGCAAAGCACAGGTAAGTGTAAAGGGCATGGGTCTTCACCACATGTAGCTTCAGGAAGTAAGCCAATGAATCCAGTTTGATTTGTGTTTAATATAAGTACCATAATCATTTAGACTATGTAAGACCACAGTTGTACACTACTGCACAAAGTAATTTTAAAATATTCACCAATGTATTAAGAATGATGCACAAATCATGTTACGCAAACTTTAATAGTCACAGTATTTGCAGTTATTTTAGGAATGCAATAAAGCATTTTTTTAAAAATCATTTTGTTGCTATGAGTTTATTTGGAGGTGGTATTTAACTTGATGCACGTAATAATGTAAATTCATAAATGTGGGGGAAAATTATGCATACAAATACCTCAGTTGCTTCATCATTTTCTTTTCAAGAAGTTCATTTCATGCTGGAAGGTTAGCTACTACTGGAAATAGCTGCTCATTAGTGACTTGTGTGGTAATATCATAATCAAAGATAGGATCCATTGTTGCTTGTCTTGATGTAACATATTTGATGTGATAAGTAGCATGGCTGCCAGTTTTGTTTACATAAACTGTTTCACTTTTTTGTTTTTCTTGGTTAGGGCCCAACAGGTCAAAGCTGCAAGACATGCTTGCAAACTTGAGAGATGTTGATGATCTCCCTTCATTACAGCCGTCTGTCGCGCCACCTTCTAGACCCAGTAGCTCAAGACTTATTGAGCATGAGATAAACAGGACAGATGAAGGCAAGTATATAAATCTGTATGTGCATAGCTACAGTTTTCACTTGAATGTTACTTTTCATCTAAGAGTATCAGACTGCTTTACAAATACTAATTTAGCCTTGCATGTCCATGAGTAAATAAATATTATCTGCCCTCATGGGGAGAATTGAGAGATTTAAGGACTTGACCTAAAACCATTTAAAGCTGATGAAAAGGCTCAGCTGACATGTGGGTTTTACAGTATATGAGCCCCAAGTTTGGCACATTAAGGAGAGACACCTGACTCTACCTCTAGTCTGACATCGAGTCGCAGGCCTTAACTACAAAGTCATCCTATCCCCATGCATTATATATATATCCATTACTTTCAAAATATATATTTTAATGCAGTGAAAACCTAGTGAAAGATACTTTGCAGTTAAACAAAAGGCTTATCTCCCATGCAAATACTTGCAGTGACAGAGTCCAGAATTACAGAGAGGACAGGCAGTAATTTTACTTAGCAAGAGTGCCCTTTTTCGTAAGATTTTAGGGGGTGTATCTGAGATTCTCGGTGACATGTGGCTTTCCATCCTGGAATCTGTGATAGTAGGTGTTTGTCTTTGTGGCATTGAACCACTTGCCTTAAAAAACAAACAAACAAACAAAAAAACAACCCCCCCCCAAAAACCCAAAACCTACCCCTAAACGTTGTTGTTGTAACTTAGCAGCCCCTTGAAACATTGGGGGAATTTGTGTTGAACATTTTCTGTCATCAAACTTACTTTGGCTTTTACCACCCTTGAGAGAAGATGGCATTCAATTTTTATGTTTTTTGTAACGGCGAGAATCAGTTTATTTTGTAAAAAGAGAAAACCAAAAAAGCCTAGTTTATTTCTCATTAGACAAACTGAAATACTGTAAGGAAGCAGTTTAATATTCATTTAATAATAACCTAAGGTCCCCAACCCTCCTTTGATACTTGTGATATGATATACAAAATCTATTTGTATCTGTTTTGAATCAACACACAGTACATGAGCCTAGAGTGCGTGCTATCTGATACGCTGATAAGTAGTTCAGGAAAAATGTGCCTGGTTTTCAGTGAAGACGGTAGGCCAGTGGTTCTTAACCCCTTTTAAGCTCGAGGCACTCCTTGTTAGTCAAGGCAGCTCTGAGAAAATGGTTCCTTGATTCTAACACCTAAACTCTAGGCACCTCTTAGCTTTCAACCATTTTTGACTGGAAAAATAATAGATCAATCCTCCTGTTGCAAATAATTCAAAAAGATCAGAGCAGGTCACAGTATTTTTAACACTATGGGATTTCTACTTAATCTCTTGATTTTTATCTCATGAATCATGTGTAGGTGTTTAACACCAACAGTGCTACTCTTGCAGGGCACTGTGGCACCTTTAAAAGGATCTCTCAGCATGCTGGGGTGCTGCAATAACTTGGTTGGGAATCACTGTACTAGGTTATACTTGTCCCCTAGAGAATTGCAGCAACTTTTTCTGGCAACTGGTAATGAAGAACATCAAAACTAAAGGCAGATAGGAGAAGTTATCGCTTCTGAAAATCAACTTGCAGGTGCATGAAGTGATACTGAATAAGCCATAAATGCAAATGGAAGAATAAGATGGTATCAACATTAGTAAAGTAAAGGAGAAAAGTGATGTTTTTGATTTCAAAGACAGAAATTTGGATAGGATTAAGTTGTGTAGAGCCTTGAAGAATAGGACAAACAGCTTTTATGTTGTTAGAAAAGTCCAGAAAGAAACAGTTGCAGATTTATACAGGTGTATGAAGGCACTTAAGGCAGACAGTTTGTCACATTGTAGAAGGACTGGAGAGGAGTTGTGTTGAAGAATTAGATGCTGTAACCATATGATAAATGGGCAAGTCTATGCCACTGGCAAGTGTTACATTTATTGCATGAATCATGTTAACTTGCTGCATGTTGATCCAATTTATCATGGGATTAAAATGGGAAGCAGCCATGAAGATCTTCTGCACTTTCAGTGTGGAACATTGAATATGTTGCATGTCAAGACACTAAGAGGACAATGAAATGGGAGAGGAATCAGCTTGTTGATGGCATTGGATAGTAGGGGACCAGTTTAACCAATCCATCTAGGAATAGTTTATTAGAGAACCATGGAGAAAAGTTCCTATCCATCTGAACTAAAAACATTATAAGGTCAGACAGTCCTAACAGTTCTAGTTTCCTTGAAACTTTTCCACCTGAGAGAGTATTCATGTCATAGCAAAACAGACATCGCAATCGATTGAAATTTGGGAATACAGTACACACATGAGGATGAATTTGACATTAGTGTGTATGCTTATAATAACATGGAACACAGCTTTGGAGCCTGTGGTCTCATAAAATTGTGGTAGAAAGTGAGGAACTATCAAATTCAGAGGATCCCTTAGACAACAGCACAAAAAATCCCACCACAAACCAGTTAAACTCCTCTATTTCTACAAAAATGCTGCAAGTTATTGAGGTGGACTGGTATGTTGAATGTTCATATTTTGTTGGTGCACTTCTTTCACTTCTCTAATTTGGAGAATTCTCAACACATCTCAAGAGGGAGAATGCAAATATACAGGAGCAGACAGTGAAGAGCAATGTCAGAATAGTTTATGCTAGTATAATTTAATAAGCAGTATAACTGTTATCTGTGGCTGTGTCTACATGAGCTGCTGACTGTGCAGTCATTATTAGGCAGTAGCACTGAGGAACAGCTTTTTTGTGATGCTGACTGCACAGTAGCTTGTGACTGCTGCGCAGTTGTTGTGTCATGCTTTCTGCAACTCAGGGCTATTGTACAGTAGTCACGGGCTACTGTGCAGTCTCTCTCTTGTGTAAATGTTCCCTGTAAGTCTGAATTGTTAAGTACAACTGTCAAGACTGTCTACATCCCATGACTATGATGTCCAAACATCTCAGTTTGCACTTTTTTTACCCAATTTTCTTTCATTGAGTCAGATGCTTTCTATGGAAGATGGATTCAAATACTTAGCTTTCTCTGCCATAGTCTCTGAGGGTATGTCTAATGCAGTGACTTGTAGCTCATGTGAACACAACTGAGCTATCTCTAATTCTGTTCCTAGTGTAGCCCACATGGAGCTTAGTGCTCCCATAGCTAACTGCACAAGCATTCACCCAGATTCTTACGGATTTTGCAGCCTATGCTGAGCATTGTACAGCTACAGCTACACTGCTCTTAATATAAGAGCTCGCTAAATTGGAGCTAGCCTGGGTATGTCAACACAAACTAGTGACAGCAGTGTGGACATGTGCTTGGATAGCTGTGGAAGCAGCATAAGGAGGGGAAAGTCAAGATTTTTTGTCAGTACTTGAAATTCTCCAAAACTACTGCCTCATGAACATGTTCATGTTCCTTTCTTTCTGCTCACTCATTTTTGTGAGGGGTGTAGAGAAGAAGAAGAAAGAGCTGTGTTCTTCTATATTACTTTAGGCCAGGGGTCCTCAACCTCTGGTCTCCAAACCAAATGCTGCCCACGCAGCTTTGGAATTTTCATGGGTCATGAAATTTGGCAGTGGTGGAGCAGTGATAGTACTTTCACCCCTCCCCACCATCCCTGCATGCCTAGATTGGGGCTGAGCCACACCTCTTTCCCTTGTTGGGGCTGGCCTGCACCCCCTTTTCACCATGGGGCTGGAAAACACCCCTTCCCCCAGAGCAGCTGGTTCAGGGCCAGCTCATACCCCCTTGTCCACCCACAGAGCTGGGCCATGCCCCCTTCCTCTTACAGGGTCAGACCATAACCCCACTCTTGCAGGGTTGGATCGGAGCCTCCTCCCCCTTCCTGGGGCCAGGTTGGGGTGGGGCCAAGCTCCCTACTCCCACATGGCTGAAACAGGGTCAGGCTGCCCCCTTCTGCATGGCCAGATAGGGCGGTACCATGCCTGCCCTGGGTGCTGCAGAGGGACCAGGCACTGCCCATCCAACCCACCAGTCCAAAAAGTTGAGTACCGCTGCTTGAGGCTAGAGGTATTTACAAGTGGCACAGGCAACCTCTGTATGTGGCATATAGCAGATCAGGGAGGGGGCAGGCAACAAAGTGGCAGATTGGGCAAGGAGCAGAAAACAAAGCAGCAAATCAGGCAAGGGAGTACAGGGCAGGGAGCAAAAAGCAGAGCAGTACATGGGACAGAGAACGGGGAATGGAATGTCCCTTAAGAG